GCCAGTGAAAATGTCCTCTAGGAATGAAGGGAAAGTCAAACCATTTTCAGATGAAGGAAAAATGAGATAATTTCTTGCCCACATACCTACTTTAAAAGAATGGATAAAGAAGTTATCTAAACAGAAAGGAAATAATAAAAGAGAGACTCTTGAAACATTAGGATAGAAGAAAAAAACAAGATAAAGAGAAAAAATACAAATGAATATTAATTTTCTTCTTTCTGACTTTTTAAAATTATGTTTGAAAGTTGAAGCAAACATTATAAAAATTATGTGATTCTCAGTGTATGTAGAAAAAATACATAAAGAATTCTAAATGGGAGAGTAAAGAGATAGATTTCTACACATCACTCAAGCTGGTTGAATCAGGAGACTGAGATAAGCCACACACACACACACACACACACACACACACACACACGCACACACACACATATGATATATAAGCCACTGAAAATCTTTGCATGCAAACCTATGTAAAGAGATACACTCAAAAACATTATAGATGAATAGAATTACTGGAGTTATAAAAAAGAGTTCAAATAACTCTAAAGAAGATAGGAAAGGAAACAGAGAAACACAAAACAGAGAGAACAAAGAGAAAACAAAAAATAAAGTGGCAGATAGCCCTATAATGCCAATAACTCCATTAAATGCATCAATTCGAGGACAGAGATTGGTAAATTTAATTTTTAGAAAATCGTGACCTAACTATATTCTGCCTACAAAAAAACTCTCTTCAAATATGATATAGATAGGTTAAAGTAAAAGAGTGAAGAAGTTACACCATTAAAGCACTAATCAAAATTAAGCAGGATGTGTTTATTAATATCAGAAACTGTAGACTGCAGGTCAAGAATGATTACAGGGACTTTGAAGGCCATTGCATAAGATCACTTCTTAATCTATCCACCGAGAAACATAGCAATCCTGGTGTATCCACCAAACAATAGAACTGTGAAATATGTGAAGCCAAAACTGTTAAAATGAAAGGAGAAACAGACAAATCCACAATTATATGTCGAGACATCAACATCCCTCTTTCAATGAGTGACAGAGCAACTAGACAGAAAATCGGCAAGGATAAAAAAGAATAACACGCCAGCTGACATTAATAGAATGTGTTACCTAATAACAGAATAGATATTCTTTCCAAGTGCCCCAGTAACATATAATAAGATAAAACATAGCCTGAGTCATGAAACAAATCACAACGAATTTAAAAGAATTTAAATCATTCAGAGAGTGAACTGTGACTACAATGGACCCAAACTAGAAATCAAAAGCAGGAAGTAATAGGAAAATCTTCAAACACTAGACAACACACTTCTAAATAAGCCATGAGTCAATGAGAAAGTCTTGAGGAAAAATAAAAACTACATTTAAGTGAATGAAAATTAAAACACAGACTATCAAAACTTTCGGAACACAGCTAAAGCAATTCTGAAAAAAAAATTGCAGCACTAAATGCTTACATTAGAAGAGAAAAAGTTTTAATCCAAGAATCTAAGCTTTTACTCCAATAAACTAGACATATAAGATCCAAATAAGCCCAAGCAAACAGAAAAAAATAAATTATTAGAAAGCATATATCAATGAAGTTAAAAATAAAAAAAAATCAATAGAGGAAATCAATGAAACAAGAACCTGTTTCCTTGAAAAATGGATAAAATTGTCAAATCTTTCACAAGTTTGACAAAGAAATAAAAGATAGAAGACGCAATTACTAATTCAGGAATGAAGCATAGGGTATCACTGCAGACCTTACACATCAAAAGTTTACTGAGGAAATGCTATGTACAACCTCACAAGTGTTAACTTGGCAACTGAGATGACATGAACCAGTTTCTCAGAAAGTAGTCACTACCACAAATCACCCAATATGAACTAGATAATTTAAATGGCCTCAACATTATTAAGAAATTTGTATATGTAATTTAAAACTTTTCAAAGATTATGGATGGTTTCACTAGAGAATTCTTTGAAGCCAATTTAAGGAGAATTGGTATCAATGCTAGACAATGTTTTCCAGAAATAGAAGAAGGAACACTTGCCAATCAATTTTATGAAGCTGATACCAAAACCAGACAAAGATAGTAAAAACCAAAGAAAACTGCAAATACCCCTCATAAGTATAGACACAAAAATACTTAGCAAAATAATTAGTTAATTTAATTCAGTGATATAACTATTTACATATACCTTGACCAAATTAAGTTTATTCCAGGGTATTCCCGGTTCAATAATCAAAAGTCAATGTAGTCCATCATATAAACATAAAAATCACATAATTCTATTAATTTATGCAAGAAAATCTGTTGACAAAATTTAGTACTTATTTGTGATTAGGATCTCAGAACATGGAAGCATCAGAGTAAATACGAATTAAATAAAAAAGAAGAAAATCTCAGAATACTAGGAATAGATTGAAAGTTCCTCAACTTGACAAAGAAGATCTACAAAAACCCACAGCTAATTTGGCATTAATGGTGAAAAATTGAATACTTTTTCTTTAAAATAGAAAAGAAGCAAAGATGACTAGCTTTATCTATTACTGTTATTGAAATAGTACTAGAAGTTCTAGCCACTGCAGTAAGACAATAAAAAGAAATAAAAGCTCATAAATTGGAAAGGAAGAGGCAAAAATTCTATTTGCAGATGATGTGATTTTATGTGCAGAAAATATGACCAAAATCTACCAAAAAACCCCAAATATTTTAGAACTAACAATTTAGCTCAGCAAGGTGACAGGATATGAGATCAGCATATAAATATCAGTTGTATTTCTCTATACCACATGTCTATGATGGACATATGGACACTGAAATTAAAAATACAGTAACATTTACAATCCCTTAAATATAAAGTGAGGAAATACTTATGCGTAACTCTAACAAAGCGTATGTAAGACTTGTATACTGAACACTACAAAAAGCTGATAAAAAGAAATCAAAGAATATCTAAATAAAAAAAGTAATATCTGTTCATAAATCAGAAGACCCACATAATAATGATATCAATTCGCCCTAAGTTGATATATAAGTTTAATGTAATTCCTATCAAACTAACAGCAAGATATTTTACAGATATAGAAAGTTATTCTAAAATGATATGTAGAAAGGCAAAAGAGCTGGAATCATTAAAACAATTTTGAAAAATACGAATAAAGTCGGAAGAATAAGTCTATCAACTTATATAGTTACAGTGATCAAGACTGGGTGACATTGGTAGAGAGATAGACATATAGATTAATAGAACAAATAAGAAAGCACAGGAAAATCCCTACACAAATATGCCTAACTGATTTTTGACAGGAGTTTAGAAGTGATTTAATGGAGGAAGGAAAGTCTTTTCAACAAACGGCATCGGAGTAATCGGACATTTATAGCAAAAAAGAAATTGACTTCAACCTAAACCTACCGCCTATGCAAAGCAATTAAACAACAAAAAACCAAAATATTCAAGATGGATTACAGGTTTAAATACAAAATACATAAAACAATAACCTATTGAGAAGAAAACAAGATAAAAATTTCAGAGTCTATTGTTTCACCAAGAGTTCTTAGACACGAAGAACACAATACATAAAAGAGAAAAAAAAATTGGAATTCATCAAAATGGAAAACATTTGCTCTGCAGAAGATCCTTTTCAGATGATAAAAAGACAAGTTACGGACTGTGAAAAGATATTTGCAAACCATATACCTGTCAAAAGACTCATCTCTAGGCTATATTTTAAAAACTCTCAAAACTCAACAGCAAAAAACAAAAACCAATTCAGTTATGAAATAAGCGAAAAGCATAAAGAGACATTTCACTGAAGAAGTTATAGAGAGAGCAAATAAGCACATTAAAAGATGTTTTGCATTAGGAAAATGCAAATTAAGACCACAATGAGATATCATTGCACACCTGTTAGAACAACTACAGTTTAAAAATAATGACAATACCAAATGTCTGGGAGGACACGGAGAAATGGAATCTCTCATACATTGCTTGTGGGAATGTAAAATGGTAGAGCCATGTTAAAAATTAGTTTGGCAATTTTTTAAAAAACTAAACACACACTTAAAATTGTCCTTCTGGGCATTTATTAAAGAGAAATAAAAAACTTATGTTCACACAAAAACCCATACATGATTGTTCATAGTGGCTTTATTTGAAATAGCCCCAAAGTGGAAACAAGAAAAATGTCCTATAATAGACGAAGAGTTAAACCTATATTATGGAATAATACTTGGCAATAGAAAAGAATGCACAAAAATGAAAATGAATGGAACAACTTGGATAGACCTGGAGAGTATTCTGATTTTTTTAATCCAACATAAAAAACATATTTGCTGTATGATTCCATTTACATAACATTCTTAAAGTGATAAAAATTTGACTTCAGAGATGAAGAAAATATTAATTCCAGGAGACAGAGATGGTGAGGAGGAGGGCAGGGAATGTGATTACAAAGGATACTGAAACGGAGAACTTCATGGGGATGGCATCTTTGTGCATCTTGATTTCAGCAGTAGTTACAGAATCTACACATGTGATAACATGACTTAGAACTGTGCACATACTTTATACCAGTGTTAGTTTCCTAGTTTTGACCTTGTGCTCTATGTAACATGGAACCAGTGAGAGAATGGGTGAAGGGTACACAGATTTTCTCTGTGCTATCTTTGCAATTTCCTGTGAATCTATAACTATTCTAGAACAAAACATTTTGAAAAATTCCTGATTTGGCTATGATATTCTACAGAATTCACCACCTCTATACGGACACTCTGTGCTTCAGAATCAAAGGACCTTTAAAGTATCTGTATTTTTTTTTAAATTGAGGGGCTTATCCAATCAGGCAATAATTTGGGTCATTGCCTTCTGTGTTCTTATCCTATGAATGTGGAAATGATCAATAAAGTACAACTTGGGCTGAAGACTTTGAGAAGCAACACATACCTGTCTTCATTATTTTAAGATGCAGAATAAAGCAACAATGGACACGTTTAGTCATTCTATAAATAAAACACTTCCTCTTCCTTTTAATGGAAACAGATGGATCGAGACCCTGCTGAGTGGCCATTAAGGGAAGCACTGTCTGTGAGGTCTCTATCTAGCTGTGCTGAAGATGATAAATGATCCTAGAGGCTAGTGTTATCTCATTGACATTTTTCTCAAAGCACTACTTTTTGTGTGTGTATGTTTAAAAGCTTGTGAAAAGCCATCTATTACTCCTAGATTTAATTCTAATCACACTGAAATTTATTTGTTTTTTAGAAGTAGCATGACTTAAAGCAAGTTAGTTTTTTCTACACTTAACGCTTTTCTTCTTTTTAAATTTTTTTTATTATGCTTTAAGTTCTGAGATACATGTGCAGAATGTGCAGGCTTGTTACATAGATATGCACATGCCATGGCGGTTTGCTGTGCCCATCAACCTGTCATCTACATTAGATATTTCTCCTAATGCTCTCCCTTTCCTAGGCCCACACCCACCAACAGGCCCTGATGTGTGAGGTTCCCCTCCCTGTGTCCATGTGTTCTCATTGTTCAACTTCTACTTACGAGTGAGAACATGCAGTGTTTTTTTTCTGTTCTTATGTTAGTTTGCTGAGAATGATAGTTTCCAGCTTCATCCATGTTCCTGCAAAAGACATGAACTCATCCTTTTTACGGCTGCATACTATTCCATGGTATATATGTGCTGCATTTTCTTTATCCAGTCTAACGGTGATGGGCATTTGGGTTGCTCCCAAGTCTTTGCTATTGTGAAAAGTGCTGAAATAAATATACAAGTGCATGTGTCTTAATAGTAGAATGATTTATAATCATTTGGGGATACAACCAGTAATGGGATTGCTGGTTCAAATGGTATTTCTGTTTCTAGATCCTTGAGGAATTGCCACACTGTCTTTCACAATGGTTGAACTAATTTACACTTCCACCAACAGTGTAAAAGCATTCCTATTTCTCCACATCCTCTCCAGCATCTGTTGTTTCCTGACTTTTTAATGATTGCCATTCTAACTGGCTTGAGATGGTTTTGATTTGCCTTTCTCTAATGACCAGTGATGATGAGCCTTTTTTCATGTTTTTTGGCCACATAAATGTCTTCTTTTGAGAAGTGTCTGTTCATGTCCACCCACTTTTTGATGGTGGTGTTTGTTTTTTTCTTGTAAATTTGTTTAAGTTTTCTGTAAATTCTAGATATTAGCCCTTTGTCTGATGGATAGATTGCAAAAATTTTCTCCCATTCTGTAGGCTGACTGTTTACTCTGATGTTAGTTTCTTTTGCTGTAGAAGCTCTTTAGTTTCATTAGATACCATTTGTCAATTTGGGCTTTCGTTGACATTGCTTTTGGTGTTTTAGTCATGAAGTCTTTGCCCATGCCTATGTCCTGAATAGTATTGCCTCGGTTTTCTCCTACAGTTTTTATGCTTTTAGGACTTATGTTAAGCCTTTAATCCATCTTGAGTTAATTTTTGTATAAGGTGTAAGGAAGGGGTCCAGTTTCACTTTTCTGCATATGGCTAGCCTGTTTTCCCAACAGCATTTATTAAATAGGGAATCTTTGCTTCATTGATCATTTTTGTCCGGTTTGTCAAAGATCAGGTGGTTGGAGATGTGTGGCATTATTTCAGAGGCCTCTGGTCTGGTCCATTGTTCTATATATCTGTTTTGGTACCAGTACCATGTTGTTTTGGCTACTGTAAACCTGTAGTAGAATTTAAAGTCAGGTAGCATGATGCCTCCAGCTTTGTTCTTTTTTACTTAGGATTGTCTTGGCTATATGGGCTCTTTTCTGGTTCCATCTGAAGTTTAAGGTGGTTTTTTTCCAATTCTATGAAGAAAGTTAATGGTAGCTTGATGGAGATTGCATTGAATCTATAAATTACTTTGGGCAATATGGCCATTATTACAAAAAAATATTGATTCTTCCTATCGATGAACATGGAATGTTTTTCCATTTGTTTGTGTCCTCTTTTATTTCCTTGAGCAGTAGTTTGTAGTTCCCCTTGAAGAGGTTCTACCCATCCCTTGTATGCTGTATTCCTAGGTATTTTATTCTCTTTGTAGCAATTGTGAATGGAAGTTCACTCACGATTTGGCTCTCTGTTTGTCCATTATTGATGTATAGGAATGCTTGTGATTTTTGCACATTGATCCTGAGACTTTGCTGAAGTTGCTTATCAGCTTAAGGAGATTTTGGGCTGAGATAATGGGGTTTTCTAAATATACAATCACGTCATCTGCAAACACAGACAATTTGACTTCCTCTCTTCCTATTTGAGTACACTTTATTTCCTTCTCTTGCCTGATTGCCCTGGGTACAAATTCCAGTACTATGTTGAATAGGAGTGGTGAGAGAGGGCATTCTTGTCTTGTGCTGGAATGCATCCAGCTTTTGCCCATTCAGTATGATATTGGCTGTGGGTTTGTCATAAATAGCTCTTATTGTTTTGAAATATGTTCCATCAATACCTAGTTTATGGAGAGTTTTTAACATAAAGTGATGTTGAATTTTATCCAAGGCCTTTTCTGCATCTATTGAGATAAGCATGTGGTTTTTGTCATTGTTCTGTTTTTGTGATGGATTGCATTTATTGATTTGTGTATGTTGAACCAGCCTTGCATCCCCTGGATGAAGCCTATTTGATCATGATGGATAAGTTTTTGATGTGCTGTTGGATTCGGTTTGCCAGTATTTTAGTGAAGATTTTCATATCAATGTTCATCAGGGATATTGGCCTGAAATTTTCTTTTTTTGTTGTGTCTCTGCCAGGTTTTGGTATCAGGAGGATGTTGATCTCATCAAATGAGTTAAGGAGGAGTCCCTCTTTTCCTTTTCTTTGGAATAATTTCAGAAGGAATGGTAACAGTTTCTCTTTGTACCTTTGGTAGAATTTGGCTGTGAATCCATCTGGTCCTGGGCTTTTTTTTTTTTGACTGGTAGACTATTAAACACTGCCTCAATTTCAGACCTTGTTATCGATCTATTCAAGGATTTGACTTCTTCCTGGTTTAGTCTTGGGAGGGTATATGTGTCCAGGAATTTATCCATTTCTTCGAGATTTTCTAGTTTATTTGCATAGAGGTGTTTATAGTATTCTTTGATGGTGGTTTGTATTTCATGGGATCAGTGGTGATATCCCCTTTATCACTTTTTCTTGTGTCTATTTTATTCTTCTCTCTTTTCTTCTTTATTAGTCTGACTGAGGTCTATCTATTTTGTCAATTTTTTCAAAAAAACAACTCCTGGATACATTGATTTTTTGAAGGGTTTTTTGTATCTTTATCTCCTTCAGTTCTGCTCTGATCTTAGTTATTTCTTGTCTTCTGTTAGCTTTTGAATTTGTTCCTCTTGCTTCTCTAGTTCTTTCAAATGTAGTGTTAGGGTTGATTTTAGATGTTTCCTGCTTTCTCCTGTGGACATTTAGTGCTATAAATTTCCCTATAAACACTGCTTTATCTGTGTCCCAGAGTGTCTGGTACATTGTATCTTTGTTCTCATTGGTTTCAAAGAACTTATTTATTTCTGTCTTAACATTTTTATTTACCATGTAGTCACTTACGAGCAGGTTGTCCAGTTTTCATGCAGTTCCATGGTTTGGAGAGAGTTTCTTAATCCTGAGTTCTAATTTGATTGCACTGTGCTCTGAGAGAATCTTTGTTATAATTTTTGTTCTTTTGCATTTGCTGAGTAATTCCAATTATGTGGTCAATTTTAGAATAAGTGCATTGTGGTGCTGAGAAGAATGTATATCCTGTTGATTTGGGGTGGAGAATTCTGCAGATGTGTTAGGTCTGCTTAGTCCAGAGCTGAGTTCAAGTCCTGAACATCCTTGTTAATTTTCTGTCTTCTTCATCTAATATTAACACTGGAGTGTTAAAGTCTCCCACTATTATTATGTGGGAGTCTAAGTGTCTTTGTAGGTCTCTAAGAACTTGCTTAATGAATCAGGGTGCTCCTCTACTGGGTGCATATATATTTAGGATAGTTCATTCTTTTGTTGCATTGATCCCTATACCATTATGTAATGCCCTTCTTTGTCTCTTTTGATCTTTGTTGGTTTAAAGTCTGTTTTATCAAGTCTAGAATTGCAATCCCTACTTTTTAAAAAATTTCCACTTACTTGGTAAATATTCCTCCATCTCTTTATTTTGAGTGAGAAAGCATTTGGGGGTTAGGGACTTGAGGAGGCTGTCTGTCCCTTAGCAGAGTTCAAGTGCTGTGCTGGGAGAGCCACTGCTCTCTTCAGAGCCAACAGGCAGGAATGTTTAAATCTACTGAAGCTGTGCCCACAGCAGCCCCTTCCCCCAGGTGCTCTGTCCCAGGGACATAGGAGTTTGATCTATAAGCCCCTGCCTGGAACTGCTGCCTTTGTTTCAGAGATGCCCTGCCCAGAGAGGAGGAATCTGGAGATCACTGCAGTCTGGCTTTGCTGTGTTGTGGTGGGCTCTACCCAGTTGGAAATTTCCGAGGCTTCGTTTACACTATGACGGGAAAAACACCTACTCAAGGCTCAGTAATGCTGGACGCCCCTTCCCTCAGCAAGCTCCAGTGTCCCAAGTCAACATCAGACTGCTGTGCTGACAGCAAGAATTTCAAGCCAGTGAATCTTAGCTTGCTGGGCTCCATGGGGGTGGGGCCCACTGAGCTAGATGACTTGGTTTCTTGGGGTCAGCCCTCTTTCCACGTGAGTGAATGGTTCTGTCCTGCTGATGCTCCAGGTTCCACTGGGGTATATAAAAAAAAATCTGCAGCTAACTCAGTGTCTGCCCAAATGGCCAGCCAGTTTTGTGCTTGAAACCCAGGGCCTTTGTGGTATAGGTGCCCAAAGGAATCTCCTGGTCTGCAGGTTTTGAATACCATAGGAAAAGCATAAGGCTGGAATGCACCATTCCTTATGGTACAGTTTCTCAGGGCTTCCCTTGGCTATGGGAGGGAGTTCTCTAACCCCTTGTACTTTCCAGGTGAGATGATGCCCCACCCTGCTTTGGCTTGCCCTCTGTGGGCTGCACCCACTTTCTAACCAGTTCCAATGAGATGAGCTGGGTACCTCAGTTGGAAATGCAGAAATCACTCACCCTCTGCATTGATCTCGCTGGGAGCTACAGATCAGAGCTGTTCCTATTTGGCCATCTTGCCAGCCACCAGCACTTAAAGCTTTTCTAATAATGCACAGCTAATTATGACTATGCAAGTTGCTCTACTTTCACATCTGTCAGCATCATTCAGTGCTATTTTCTGGTGTCAGGGTGGCATAGGTCATAAAACTAGAAAAGACCTTACCCACCATCTGGTCCACAGGTCTAGAATTTACAGCCAATAGATATGGTATTTCCTGGAATTTGACTTCTTTTTTTAATAAAATTTGAATGTCTTTAGATTGGGCATTGGGTTTCCCATGGGCCACAGCTCATGCCAGCATCTCTGGGTTACCTCCACTGTTTTTCCACAACCTCTTTCCTTGGTTGGAATTTGATTGTGAAAGCCTTCTTCCTTCTTCAGTACTTCCATAGATGGAGAAACAGGGTATATCATAAAGGTCACATAGCTAATTCATTGCCAAACTCAGAACGTGCCCATGTTTCAGCCTTGTTCCACACTTACTCTACTGCCCTCTGTACCCAGAGACATTTTTAAAAAGGGGTTGTGGGGTGGTGCTAGTCCTGAACAGATAGCCAGAAACCCCACATTTACAGCAGGGTTTCTTTGTGTCCAAAATCGCTTGAACGTGCAGCTCAGCACAAGACCCAGGCTGAGTACAGAGTGATTCTTTGTTGCTTAATGTGGATTAGATCTGACGGGGAGACACAGCCCCCTCTCCACCAGCTCCCTCCAGCCTCCAGCCCCAGTCCAAATTGATTTTGTGCTTCTTCTTTCTGTGCTTGACAAAGGAAGCAAAAGCAACATGCTGTCAGTGGGTAGTTGCCAAAAAGCAAAGTGGCCCAAATCACCCGCTTCAAATTTCCAACTACAGTTCAAAGTTACCTTGTAAGCAGCCACTGCGATTTGCTAATAAAATGCCAAATCATTAAGGTCTTCCTATTTGTCTATTGATTGTTTAAGTGGGATGTTATGACAGGGAAGTATTGGTGCTAAGAGTATCGACCCACCTTCAGGGTGTTCTAAAGCAGGAAACTCCACCATATGCATTGCACTAACTCTGATATATTGCCTGTCATGGCCATTTCATCAGGACCTTGACATTACACTGAGACAATCTTTTGGGAACTTTAGCTTTCTAGAAAAATTGAAAAAATATGTACTTTCATATAAAAATAACATCAATAACATCAATAATTATGCATTAAGTGGTTTCCCTGAGCCAGGTAAGGTGCTAGGATTTTGGCCTATACTATTCCTAGCACAGCAATGCTACACATAGGGATTGTTACCTTGTTTGTACGTTTGGTGAAAAAGGGACTCTGAAAGGTGAAGTCACTCTTCTAAACTTTCATGGCTGGTAGTGGTTTTATCAGAACCTAGATCCATCTGAGTTCGAGTCCATACTCTCAAATATATTGGTATGTTGCATAAGGAATAACTCAAACTTACTTGATCATTTCATGTATCAGACCCCTGGGGTGTCGGATAAGAAATGAGTGGCTGAGTGAATGAGTTAGTGAGTTCCAGCTTTCAGTAAAGCAAGTTCTCTTCCCATTGGTGACAAGGTGAAGGACACTGGGAATGGAGTGAGTCCTGCAGAGTGGTGTCTTTCTGTGATGTAGAAACAAACACCTATAATTCATGCACACGCTTGGCACTACCCAGAGCCCAATGCACACTGCTGGTGGTCTGAATATACTTAATGACCCTCTGGCCCAAGCCTCCAGGGAGGCTAAACAGAGGAGAATGGGGAAAATTGATGGTAACTTTAATACACAGTAAAGTGAATAGTGTTTAAAAAAAAGGGGGAGGAGTTGTTTTTTAAAAAATTAAGTAAATTACAGAATGGTTTTTAAGTTGAGATCCATGGAGATGTCTCACCAGACAGAAGGCTTGAGAAAGAGACAGACAGAAGAGTAGAGAGAATTGGAGTGACTTCCCACTGGCTTTGAGCAAAGAGGTAGTTGTCTCTCAGTACACATTAGCTATAATGTATAAACCTTGTCCATTAAAGAGAGGATTCTATGTGGGGGAAAACCCTGAAATAGGAGTTGAGTTGGCCTGAAATATTTGGGAAACAATCTGAAATGTTTAACTTACTTAATTTAATTAAATTACTTTAATAACTAGAAATTCATTTTAGAAAAATTTGTATTTCTTGACTGTTCAGGTCTCTCTTCTTCTCTGATGTGGTTGGAAGATGCCCCTCAAAGTTCATGTGTTGGAAATTTAATTCCCAATGCAACAATGTTGGCAGATGGGGCCTAATAAGAGATCATAAGGTTTTGAGGGCTCTACCTTTACAAATGGATCAATGTCATTGTCTTGGGGGTGGGTTATTGTCTTGAGAGTGAGTTTGTTATAAAAGTGAGTTCTACCCACCTCTTGCTCTCGTGTTGTCTTGAGTGCACGTTCTCCTGCTGCTTTCCTCCATGGGAAGACTGCATGAAGGCCCTCACCAGATCCTGGCACCTTGAGCATGAAGACCCTCACCAGCTCCTGGCACCTTGATACTGGACTTCCCAGCCTCCAGACTGTGAGGAATATATTTACTTAATTTATAAATTATCCAGTCTGTGGTATTCTCACAGTAACACAAACTAGACTAAGACATACACACTCTCTCTCACTATTCATTTAGAAAGTAGAGTGCTTTGACCTTAAAGCTATCCTGACTACGGACCTCCTTCTAGATTTCACCTTGTCAGCAAAGCTCAGCGCACTGTAACCACAAGCTAACTCTCCATTCATGCATTTCATGGATTAGCTTTCTGTCAAAGGGGCAACCACTATATTCCAATGAGCAATTACTAACAACATTCCTTCTGTCATCAGGGACTAATGGTTTTCTTGCTGCCTTTGCTCTGAGCTTCAGAATGCCTCTCTCATGTTTGATTTTTTTTTCCATCCACAATACCTTTTTCTTATCCAGGTCTTCATTCATTAATCCTTTTTATGCATGACTCATTTTCCCTGTGTACAAGACAGCTCCCTCGGCTGCTTCTACCCCAATTGTTCTTTTACTAAGCTTTGGGTTCATTTCAAAGTCTTTCTAAATACCTGTTTCCCCTTCTTTCCTTTTTTATTTCCTCTTAACATTATTTACTTAAAGTATTTAAAAGTGAACTTTCAAAACCTTCCCCAGACTTGGCTCTCATAACCTGTGTTCCCTAGAGAAGAACAAGGTATCATCAAAAATTAGATAGAAAATCTAGCATTGTTTGTATTTCAGTTGAGGAACGTTTGTTGAATCCTCCTACTTAAGTCACGTGTGTAGTACATAGAATCACATAATTAAAATAAATTCTCAGTACCAGAAACTCTCCTGTGCAGCTTCTGAATTCCCATAACATTTCTCCTGACCACTTGCCCTCAGCACAATGCCTCTCCCATATACACACACACACACGCACACACACACACACACACACACCCTAAGCCACACTCACATACAATTGGTGCTGTTGGCTTCATAACCAAGCTTTTTAAAATGAAATATTGTATTTCCTATCTTCACTCCTTCCACTCCGATTAAATGTTCTAATCCATTGCCATTTACTCCATCTGTTAACTACCACCTATACTACTCCTACTTTTTAAGAAATCTAACCTGCTATTAAAAATCTTCTCCGGTTATTCACCCTGTGCTTGCATGTATTTATTTTTAAGTCTGCTTTCCTTATCAGACTGATGTCCACAAGGACAAGCATTCCATTTAACTTTGATTTAAATCCCGATAAATTGCTGCTTAAATTGCTATTAACTGTGTTTAACTTACAAAAACAGCAATTTTGGTTCCACTTACTATAAATGTGCTCTTAGCATGAAATACAGTGAGTGGTACAAAGCTTAAGCTCAATAAATACTCAATAACTGAATTAATGTATAAAATATCCTTGATTTATAGACTGTTGAGTAGCTGCTGCAAAGTCAAAACTTATTTATTTTTCAGAATGTATATTTTCTTAAATATTTTCATCTCAAAAGCTTCAAGAACCAAAATATATTTTACTAAAAGGAAAACCTATCTATATATTCTAGAATCTAACATATTGGAAATATTATTCTGTAAGTATATATGAAATCGTATTATAGATTTTAAAAATAAAACATTTAACTGGCATTGTTATATTACAATTATTAACATTGTAGTAAAAATGTGGAGCTCAAATGATTTTTATGAAAATTCTTTCAACTTTCTTTGAGTGTGTTTCTTTAAGTGAAAAGATAATCCTATAATTGAGAAGTAAATTTCTGAGTTACATTTAGAACAGGTACTTGTATGTCTGTTTCTTATCAAAGGGCAGTGGATTGAGAATCATGTGACACTGATTGCTAGACATTTTCCTGAATTGGAGAGTTTACCTTACCTTAAAATTTTATCTTTGGAAATATTTGAGACACAAAGACCTTTTCTCTAATTAGAATCCACATCCAAAAAATAAGTGGAAAGGTGCTCTACCTTTCATTCTTTCTAGAAAATGCATTTCACTTTTCCTTTGCCTGAGTTAATAATGTTTTTTCAGTTCTCTTTTTAATGGCTTGATCGTGATCCTGGACATTTTTGTTGTTGCTCTTATATTTTTTTGTACTGGAGACTGTTGAATTGGGAAAGTCATATCATATCATCCTTTGTATTATCAAATCAAATGTATTAAAGTAAGCTAGAACAGTTGAAGAAAAGTGTATGCAGTACAGATAGCTGGAGACATAGGAAGGCTTTATATCCAGCAGGAAAATTGTGGCTCAAACATTCACCATGTAAGCATGAAAGTCAAAGTCCACCCCTGGGACTGCACTCTTATACTCCTGTGAAAGCCTGGGGAGTGCAATGGAACAAATGTCACTACTGTGCAAGCTTATGGGAAAAGGACACACTCAGGTGGATTTGTTTGCCTCTCTTCTGTGAAAGCCTATTGGAAACAGGGGCTACAGCAGTTCTAGCAAAAGGAGAATTCCAATAACAGAGGGAAGGGAACAAATCATTGTTGTTCAGACACTGTGTTGTATACACCTTTACATATCCACTTGTATACAATATTGGATACAATTAGGTGACTTATGGAAAGCTCAAAGTTCTGCTTGGCTAAGAAAAGTCCAAATGACAGCACTAAAGATGGAAAAATGTTTATAATTATGCAAATATCACATTGGCAGCAGGTACAATAACACTGATTTGTTTCAAAGGAAGAAAGGACTCAATTTTCT